CTTTGCTTTGCTTTGCTTTGCTTTGCTTTGCTTTGCTTTGCTTTTTTTAAGCAGAAAGTTTTAACTCCATTGGGAAAGAAATGTTTTTTCCTCCCACTTCTGCAACAGAATTTATGTTCATCACAAAACATGTCCTCTGTACACCCATCAATTAGAAGACTTATAATTTATAAGCTATGGTGCACATTAGGAAATTATAAATATTTACCAAGAAATTTGTATTCTCGATGTTAATGTGCTACTTTAAATTTTTATTTAGCATTTTTATAAATGAACCCTTAGGCCTGCAACAAAAATAAGATGAAGTGAAATGTTTAAAGCATTGAGGGGATGGGGACAGGGGACCCAGCTTAAACAGGAGAGTTTAATCATTTGTTTTCCATGAGACCAGAGATGCAGATAACTGATGTCTCACAATTGATCATCTTTTACAATCTGTTTCATATTGCAGGTGACAACATCAAACCTTTTACACCAGAACAAGCCAAAGAAATTGTGATGTCTCTCCAGAAACCTGCAGTTTTCTGCAATATGGCTTTTGATTGGCCAGTGCGTCATTGGAGTGTTTCATATCTAGCTAATCTCTGTAGGGGAAAGAGAATACTTTTTAGAATAGGAACGAAAGACATGGGCACAGGTAAGGGAAGACTGAGTGACATATGCAGTCTCTCAATTCATTACAAGACCTCCAAGGTGGCTTGTTGTCATTCTGTACATTCTGAAAGCAAAAACCAAATAGTTAAGAGTGGCTAATAATGCATAGTTCAGGCACTTAGCATAAAGCAAGCAACTTCCACAAAAATTAAATGTAACAGCAAAAATTAAAATTTCCAGGAAAATTATGGTGTGTGTGTGTGTGCGTGCTTTTTAAAAGGGCTGACCTCACTCCAAAGCATTCTGGAATAAAAAGGCCAAGACTTATTCTAGAAATATAGAAAAGAGTAGCCCTGAAATGTTTTCTGAGAAGAGTCCTCAAAATAGATGCCACCAAGGATACTTTGATGCTCCAGTTCTAATTTCAGATGGCAGTAGCACTTCTGGCAAGATAGAAGCATGCATGAGGATTCTTACGGTAGGGGACATTCTGTAAAGTTTTTTGAATTCTGACAATTTTTGAACACTAAAAATCAACATGCTCTGAATTATGCTCTGAAAATAACTGCTAACTTGCTCAACTTCTTTTTCCTTGGGCTCCCTTTTACCAGGGCCATCAACCAAATGAACATCCAGATCACTTATCATGTGGTATTTGCATAGATGAATATACTACAGTATAGGCTTTTGCAGACTGCCAGAAATAGTGCACATTAAATTGAGGCACTGCCCTGGCTCAGTGCTAGGGAATCATGGGAACTGTAATTTATTGTGGCACCAGAGCTCTCTGACAGAGAAGGCTCAATGTCCCAGAAAAAAATACAATTCCCATGATTCCCTAGCACTGAGCCAGGGCAGTGCCTCAATTTAATGTGCACTATTTCTGGCAGTCTGCAAAGGCCCTATGTTGGAAGTCCTATTCACAAGGCCTTAAAAATCTTTTGTAGTGCAGAATCACTGCAGAGGATGATAACTGATTGATGATTCATAAAGCATACTGTTATGTAATTATTTATATAAATACACTGTCCATAAAGGAGTGAAAAGAAGTATTTGTAGGAAAAGAAGATGCTTCCAGGGATTCCTATGTCAGGTCAACAATCTTTCAGAATTTTTGGTGCGGTGTATTTTGGAGGTTCTGTACCAAATAAATGTAATAAATCAATGTTTTTTTGTTGTTTTGTTTTTGTTTTTGTTTTTTTTGCTGTGGTTTGGAGGAACAAGGTGGCATACAACTTCTTATGAGCAGACTTCCCTATCCTCTCCTTTTCCTAGTGGTATCCATCCCAAGACACCTTTGGATTTTACCTACATCATTGGATTAAATCTGTCTCAAATCATTTTTGTACCTAATCTTGAAGCCACCTTGAATCCTGTGCTGGGAGAAAGATGCGATATAAATTACACAAATAAATAAATACGATGTTCTGAGTTGTTATAAATGTGGGTGGAAGAATAAAGCTGCAGATGCCTAGCCCAAAATATTTAGGCATGCTTCTAAAAAACTTCAGATAGAGGTGAAATGGATAGTAAGGAAACAACCAATGGCATTCAGTGGATTTGATAACTCTTTTCTGATAACAGGAGCTTTAAGTTCACAAGGATAGATTCAATTCTAGGAAAAGTTTCTGTCATAAGGTCAAAGTCTGTGTGTGTGTTACATCCTTTCTTACT